CATAATATAATTCCAATAGACTGTATTTACAAGTAGAATACGTCCAATTAGATTGGAACGCCGGGTACCCTACTCTAACAATTATAAGTTATATTTATGCATATAATATTAAAATTATAAGTTAAATAAAGGTATTATATTTTAAAATTTGATAATTGGTTAAAACAAATAGTACATAACGATTTGATTGTATATGAATCACTATATTGATTGCATAAAATAAAATAAATAATGTATTTTTTGATATTTTAAGGGACTATGACTAATTAATTAGCTAAAAAATATTAAATTTATTATAACATATGCTTATGCGATTTTAAGGAATTTTACTATGCCATTAAAAAAAATTAATTTATTTATAAACTAATCGCTTAAGCAGATAAAGATATATTATATTAATTTTATAATAAATTACTCGAACAAAATTTTTTTACAATATAGTTTCTTATGTTTATGTAACTTTCACATATCATTTAGTGTAAAATATAATTATTAATTGTAATAATAACCATTATATGATACAATTTACAGAGCTGGTGAATTTATTTTGTATTGTTGTTAGTGTATTTGTCCATGTTGTACATGTGCTGCATTTTTCATTTTTCATCATGATTAATTATTGTAGTGATATCATAAAAAACAATAGATATTCCAAAAAAACATTTATAAAAAGTTCTTTTAAAAGTTTATATTCTGAATACATGCTTATGTAATCATGAGTTTCTATAATAAATAATTCATAATTAAGTTAGCATAGTAATGATTATATAGAAATTAAAAAAGTAAATATTTTTAGCTAATTAACCTAAATTGATATACTTAGATAAAATAGTGGTCATTAGTTTAGATTTTGTAATTTTCCAAAATTGATGTATTTTGTAAAAGTAACGGTTTTTGTATTTGGAAAGTTTGTATTATTTATTAGGTAAAATTTATTAGGTTTTATTTATGAGGTAAAATTAAATGAAAGGCTAGTAATTATATATATATAGACAGATAAATTTTAATTATATTATTTTAAATATAATTTTAATATAAATTTAAAATCTACTAACAACTAATCATACTAACTTTTTTTAAATTAATCATAATTAGCAAAAAAAAAATTAATTAAATACCAATATATCTACCCGGATCTATATGAACTAATCCTCATAAATGGATTACGAAATATAAATAATTGACTCAATTATTATTAAATAAAAAAAAAATGGGTACTATATGATGGCCCAGCATGCAATCTAGTATTGGGCTTTAGTTTTGAATGGGCTATAAACATCTTACAATGATTGGGGCAGATATAATATAAGCATGAAACAACCCTAGTATCAGGATTGCGGTCGACGAATTTGTTTTTTCTGCCGACGGAGTGAACAACCGATACCTGGTTTTGGTATTAGTCGCCGTCCATTTCCTCCGTTCCAAACAATACCTCTCGTAAGAATTCAGAAACCATAGTAGGAAGCATTAGTCGTCGTCTTGTTCTCAGGAGGAAGCATTCGAATCAACAGATCTTTATTCCATGCTGTGACCGGTTAAACTTTCACCAGGTGATCAATTTTCCTGTATGAGTTCTATAATTTGATCTAACGAATGTTGAAACACTAATTTTGGCTTGATGGTTTTTGTCATAGAAATTACTGAAAATAGTTTTAGCATTTTGTTTTGAGCTAGGGTTTCTTTTTCAGGGCGCTTCAGGTGTATAACTGTGTAGTTTAACCTTATCGCTGCTAGTTTCTGCGTGGGTTTGGTCTTTATAGATGCTTTAATTTAGAGGAAAATGGAGTTTCTAATTTCTACTACGGGTGATTATATAGCTGAAATATAACGTTTTTNTGGATTTGCAATATTTGTTAATGTTTTTGCTTTTAAATTTCTTGAATTGCTACTCACCGTATTTGACATTGATTGTTATGATCAGGTTGAATATGCTGGGTTCCTTACCTATACTTCCACTTCCAGCACCTCCTGCTGATGGAGATCTTGGCCCGATACCCCTGGCTCAAGTGACTGAGGACTCAAATAATGAGAGAAATGAAGACCTGGATAAAGATAATGATAAATCGACCCCAACTCCAGCATCGGTAGCTACCCATACGAGGACAATCGGGATTATATACCCACCTCCGGACATCAGAAATATTGTAGACAAAACTGCTCAGTTTGTGGCTAAGAATGGGCCAGAGTTTGAGAAAAGGATTATTGCAAACAATGAAGGAAATGCAAAGTTCAACTTTTTACGTGCCTCTGATCCCTACCATGCATATTATCAGCATCGTCTGTCTGAAGCCCGGGCACAAAATCAATCTTCTGGCCAGCAGCAGCCGCTTGAGGCGGCTGAGCCTGCTCCTGAATCCGCATCTACTGCTCCCACTGCTGATGCAAATGATGTTTCATCTAAGCCCGATCCTTCAGCCCAATTCCGTCCTGTTCGTAAGGTGCTTGAGCCGCCAGAGGCAGAGCAATACACTGTTCGGCTTCCTGAAGGGATTACCGGGGAGGAGTTGGATATAATTAAGCTCACTGCTCAGTTTGTTGCCCGTAATGGAAAGTCATTTTTGACTGGTTTGACTAGCAGAGAGAGCACGAATCCTCAGTTCCATTTTATGAGGCCGACACACAGTATGTTCATGTTCTTTACATCACTCGCTGATGCTTACTCGAAAGTTTTGATGCCTCCTAAAGGGTTGACAGATAAGCTCAGAAATAGTGTTGCTGATATGACGACTGTACTCGAGCGTTGCTTGCATCGCCTTGAATGGGAAAGGTCACAAGAGCAAGCTAGGCAGAAAGCCGAAGATGAGATAGAGCAGGAGCGACTGCAGATGGCTATGATTGATTGGCACGATTTTGTTGTGGCTACGTCAATAGATTTCGCCGATGACGAGGACGATGATTTACCTCCTCCAATGACGCTCGAAGAAGTGATAAGGAGGAGCAAGATGTCTGCTATGGAAGAAGATATTGTTGAACCTGAAAAGGAGGTGGAAATGGAGATGGATGAAGAGGAAGTCCAACTCGTTGAGGAGGGCATGAGGGCTGCAAACCTGGAAGAGAATGGTGATATGAGGAATAAAGAGGCCAAGGGAACACCTGAAGAAGAACCACCCATGAGAATTGTGAAAAACTGGAAGAGGCCCGAGGAGAGAATCCCGGCCGAAAGAGATCCCACTAAGTTTGTTGTCTCCCCGATTACCGGAGAGCTTATTCGCATCGATGAAATGTCTGAACACATGAGAATTTCTCTTATCGACCCCAAGTTTAAGGAGCAGAAGGAGAGGATGTTTGCTAAGATCAGAGAGACGACCCTTGCTGCAGATGATGAGATTTCAAGGAATATCATGGGACTCGCCAGAACCCGGCCCGATATTTTCGGGACTACAGAGGAAGAAGTGTCGAACGCTGTCATGGCTGAGATTGAAAAGAAGAAAGATGAGCAACCAAAGCAGGTAATATGGGATGGTCACACGGGAAGTATCGGCCGAACCGCTAGCCAGGCAATGTCTCAGAACACGGTTGTCGAGGACATGAATGATGCTGACGGTAGGAGCCTCCCGGGTCCCGCACCTCCTCCTCCCAGGCCTGGTATGCCATCAATTAGGCCACTGCCTCCTCCTCCTGGTCTTGCCTTGAATATTCCTAGGCCTTCTACATTAATCCACTATCCTAACCCATCCCCCGGTTCTGGTGTTATTGCACCACCACCTCCTGGGCCTCCAGTTGTCAGTATGGTTACTCCTATTCGGCCGTCACCTCCAATGCCAGTGATGCATGGGCAACATCTTATGGCAAACCATCTTCCGATGCAGCCAAATCCGATTATTCCACCACCTCCCGGAGCACAGTTTAACCCTTTGGCAGGTCAGAGGCCTTTTATTCATATGTCCCAGCCAGGCATGCCTATGGTTCCTCCACCACCAATGCCTCAAAGCATGATGCCACCTCCTCCACCTGAGGAGGCGCCTCCACCACTGCCTGAAGAACCAGAGCCTAAGAAGCAAAAACTTGATGACTCTGCTTTTATTCCTGAAGATCAATTCCTGGCACAACATTTGGTATTGACTTTTAACCCCTTCCCCAATCTTTTATATATTTGTTGTAGTGTATAATCATTCAGTAATAAGTTGTATTTATGGAATTGTTTCAGGGTCCTGCTCGTATCACTATATCTGTGCCGAATGTTGATGAAGGAAATCTGAAGGGGCAGGTACTGGAGATTGGTGTTCAATCCTTGTCTGAAACAGTTGCTAGTTTGAAAGAGAAAATTGCGGGCGAGATCCAGCTTCCTGCAAACAAACAGAAGCTGAGTGGGAAGGCAGGCTTCCTCAAGGACAATTTATCACTTGCACATTACAATGTTGGACCTGGAGATACATTATCTCTTTCACTTAGGGAACGTGGTGGTAGAAAGAGATGAGCACATTAATCCTGTGAAGAGGTTAATGCTGGCTTTCAATGTTGTATTTCATTTCTTTCTAGGTGGGGATTCTGATGGTTTTTGTGTTTATTAAATTTGGAAAACTTAAGTTAACGAGCTGGTTGTTGGAGTTGTCTTGTTCCAATGTACGATAATTGCAGTTTGATGTCTTCTACCTGATATGGATTGCTGATCGTTGGTATTTTATGTACTTGCATGCTCTCCCTTCGTAAATTGATGTTGTGACCTTGCTGATGCACAATTCACAATATGTGGGAGTGGAAGATATTTGTGGTTTCTGAATTCTGACATTTCTTCATTTTCTATGTAGGCATGGAGTTTTATGGTTGTCTGGATTACCCGATACCTCCCAGATCCTTGAACTCTATAGTGATGTTGTTGGGATTTTATGGCTTTCCCTTTCAGTTCTCACTTTTGATTGTGTTAGTTGATGGTTGAGGTTGTATTTTATCTATGCAACATTTACTTACTTAAAATTGAATTTATTTTTGGCTAATTAGGTGATGAGTTCTTGTTTGAGTTCATTTTCCAGTGCCAAATTGTAAATGAAATCCGAAATGAAGACCTGCCTATTTTTTGCAGCTTTGCTTGGAATTTTGCAGGGCAGAGACCGCAGGTCCCTAAACCTTCTCCGTTTTGCACTGTGTAGGGATTTGATCTTCCGAAAGTCCTATGGCAATAGGAAATTATCTCTTTTAATCAACTTTTTATCAAGTGTGAAAAATGTTACATTTATGAAGTTGATATGTGAATCTTTTGCGTATTATTAACCTCAGTAAGATCCATTATAACTTTTGTCTCGATATTACACATCTTGGGGATGCTGGTGTACCTCGATCATTAACATGTTTCGATAATCTTCTTTTATGTGGAAGGTTTTAATATTGTTATTAGGGTTAAATAGTTAATGCCATGTGTTATTTTCTGCGGCAAGAGTGTGTAACATAGCTTGTACGTGTGCTCAAGAAATGAAACCTTAATTTTGATTAAAATTAGTGGAAAAGAAATTGAAGTCCTTTCTTCTGTGCTTGTGTTTTCTTTCTTCACCATGACAAGAAAAGAGTACAACCTTACATAAAACTCTGAAAAATCTATGGATTCTAGTCACACGGAATTCCTCTTTTTGCCCATGCATGTGTTCGTTTAACATTTAAAACCATTGTGTAGAGAGACAGCATGAGGTCCTATTTAACTTGTGTGTGTAGAAGAGGCATTTGTAGAAAATGTATATGCTCATCTTCAGGCTGAGGCGATAGATTGTCTTAGGGGTTCGGCTTCATCCCGATGATGAACGACCAGATTCTGTTGGTTATCCAGTGGCATATATTGTGCCATTATGGCCATGATCTCTGAGTCCATATATGACTGCACAACAAACACAATACCAATTGAATTTCTCCGTAGCCAAAATGAAGAAAGAGAAAGGAAATAGTGACTTGCCCTTAGTCTGTATTTGTAGAATATGTAACCAGCTAATCCGACACCCAATGCCACGGCCAGCACCACCAACGAAAGGTATCGCCATAATTTCGAACTGCTCCTTTCTGTAGTTAATAAAGTATGACACGATTATATTTAACGTTCACTGGAGAGAATTATCATTTATCACATAGTAAATGCACATAGGCTTTGCTCGATAACACGCATTACCAATGCACGTGTCGTGCTCTTTTATGTAGAGTTTGCCACCGCTGCATTTGCAGTCATATCCACCCCATTTGTTGTTACAGCTACAGCCTTCACATTGGCAGGCCACTCTTTCTTTACACTCGTCCACATCTGCACTTTTTTTTTTTTTTTCGATAAAAATCAGTTCAAGCCGTTGGAAGTAAGGTGAGAAAATGGTTGGATAAAGCAGCACCTTCACATTTATGGCCGTCGCCACGGAAGCCTGTTGGGCACCGACAGCCTGATATATCCGAATCCTGAAATACATTCAAGTAAAAACAAAAGAAATGTACGCTTTAGTTTTTGTAGTTATTCGAGAGTTAAATTAACAAGTGTATGAAGGGTGATTGTGGTGTACTGAACTATGCAAGCAGAGAACTTGTTTCCTTTTCTGGTTTCGGACCAACAACCTCCATTGTTGACCGCACATCTTCCCGATCCAACAGCTGAAGATGAAGTGAGAACAGTCGTGAGTTAGTATGCTAATTAATTACAAGAGGCATCAAGGCATAATGTAATGTAAGCAGCGTTATAAGTTATAATAAAACGAACCTTGGCAAGAGGTATATCCATCTCCATCATAGTGAATTCCACTTACTGTGGGACACTCGCAGACTCTTCCCCTGAATGTGTCCTTCAATCAGAACAAAATTTATCAACTGTCCGGACATTATTCTTTTTTTTTTTTTTTTGTATACT